GGAAGTAGATTGCCCAACCTTCCTTCCGAGGAGTGGCTGGTAGGTTTGAACCGCCAGCCTTCTGGTTAGCAGTCAAGTGCCTTAGCCACTATGCTTGCTTTAGCTACTCTCCATTCAAGGGCAAGTTTCACAGTCTCTTCTGACATCCATTTTGGTCTTTTCTTCCTTTCTTGTCTTTTTAATGACTTTTGCTTTTCTTCATGGATGATGTTCTTGATGTCATTCCACAATTCCGCTGTATGTTGGTCATTGGTGTGCAGTGCATCAGATCTTTTCTTTGGATGGTCTCTAAATTCAGGAAGGATGCTCAAGGTCATATTTTGGCTCTTGTGGACTTGTTTTAGTTGTCTCCAACTTCAACTTGAACTTGCACATGAGCAGTTAATGGTTCCACAGTCAGCTCCTGGCCTTGTTTTGGCTGAAGATTTTGAGCTTTTCCATCACCTCTTGCCACAGATATAGTCAATCTGATTCCTGTGTACTCCATCTAGCGAAGTCCTCATGTACAGCTGCTGTCTATGTTGTTGAAAAAAGATATTTGCAATGAATAAGTCATTGGTCTTGCAAAATTATATCATGCAACATTATTTCTATCTCCAAGGCCAAATTTTCCAATTACCAGTGATTCTTCTTTGTTTCCAACTTTTGCATTCTAATCACCAGTGATAATCAAAACATCTTTATTGCATATTTGGTCAGTTTCAGACTGCAGAGTTGGTAAAAATCTTCACTTTCCTCATCTTTGGCTTTGGTGGTTGGTGCATAAATTTGAACAGTAGTAGTATTAACTGGACTTCCTTATAGATGTATGGATATTATCCTATTACTGAGAGCATTGTTCTTCAGGATAGATCTTGAAACATTCTCTGTGATGGTGAATGCCATGCCTTTCCTCTTCAACTTGTCATTCCCAGGATAGTAGATCATAGGGTTGTCTGATTCATAATGGCCAAAACAGGTCTATTTCAACTCACTAATGCCTAGGATATCAATCTTTATGCATTCCATTTTATTTTTGACAACTTCCAATTTTCATATATTTATACTTCATACATTCTGTGTTCTGATTATTAATGGATGTTTGCAGCTGTTTCTTCTCATGTTGAGTTGTGCCACATCAGAAAATGGAGGTCTTGAAAGCTCTACTTTATCTATATCATTAAGGTTGGCTTTATTCTGATGAGGCAGCTCTTTCTCAGTCATATTTTGAGTGTCTTCCAACCTGAAGGGCTCATGTTCTGGCACTGTATCAGACAGTGTTTCGGGGCTGTTCATAAAGTTGTCCTGTAATATATCAGACATTCTTTCACTACTGTTCATAAGGTTTTCACTGGCCAGTTCTTTGAGAAGTGGATGGCCTCTTCCTTCTTCCAAGTCTGTCTGAGTCTGGAAGCTCCACTGAAACCCATCCACCATGGGCAACCCTGCTGGCACAGCCTCCAGCCTCACAGCAACATGGAAGCCACCACAGTACGACAAACTGACAGACAAGTTTGTCTCCCTTAGCTGTTTCAACTGCTCCACTCACTTCCTGGCCTTCCCCCCTGGGGGCTTTCCCCTTCTTACCTGTTCTAGCCACCAGCCCTGGCTCCCATCTCCTGCCTGGGGCTCTCCCCTCACATGTTCCTGCCAGTGGCCTTGGCTCCCACTTCTTGCTATAGTAGTAGGAGTAGGAATAGCAGTAATCATTCCTTTTTCATAACAATAAAAATGTAGTCAATCTGACTACATGTCTTTCATTGTATGCATATACCATATTTATCCATTCTATTACTATTGGGATTTGGGCTATTTCCAGTTTTGAGCTATTAGGAACAAAATTGGTATGAGCATTCTTATACGTATCCTTTGGTGAATTTTTGTATTTCCAATCAGAATCGACTCAGTGGCACACAACAACAACAGCATTACCTAGAAGAGGAAAATGTATTTGCAGTTGTAGCAGATACTGCCAAACAGCTTTCCAGAGTACTTGCATCCATTTACATAATTCTACCAGCAGTGTATGAGAGTTTATGTCCTCCACTCCCTTACCCCACTTGGTATTCTCATTTTTTTTTTTTTCCTTTTGGTTTCTTTTGTGCGGGTGAGTGGTATAGCATCTGATTTCAGTTTTTTGAAATTTGTTAAGACCTGTTTATGGCTCTGGTAGCATAGTGGCTAAGGCACTTGACTGCTAACCAGAAGGCAGGCGGTTCAAACCCACCAGCCACTCCTCGGAAGGAAGGTTCGGCAATCCTACTTCCGTAGTGATACTGCCTCGGAAACCCAAGGAGGGGTCACTATGAGTCGGGGCCGACTCGACGGCAAACAACAACAACAACAACAACAACATGGCTCATCATATTTTGGCAAATGTTCTATATGCATTTTAAAGAGTGTATATTCTGCAATTGTTGGATGTATTGTTTTATACATGTCAGTTAAGACAACTTTATTGTTATGTTCAATTTGTTGTCTAATTGACACTTTTTGAAAGAAAAATACTCAAATCTCTGATGTATGTAGGCTATTTTATTAGTTGCCTGTAAGTTTAGAATTATGTACTTCTTGTGAATTGAATCTTTTATAATTGTGAAGTGATCCTTATTAACCCTTATAAGTCTTTTGTTTTTAGGGCTATATTTCTGATATTAATACACCACCTCCTCTCTTAGGTACCAAAGACCAGGTCATACTGTGAAAATTGTCATGTGAAAATGGAGGATGACTACATTACCTAACTGTCAAATTACAAATTAATCAGACAGTAGATTTTTTTTGCTATTGTCATAAATGAGATATGTTGTATAACAACATAGTCAATAAGTGAAGAGTAGGTGTTCTTGTTAGATGCTGTTGAGTTGGTTCTGACTCATAGTGACCCCTATATACAACAGAACCAAACACTGTCTGGTCCTGTGCTATCCTTACAATCCTTGCGATGCTTGAACCCAATCATTGCAGCCACTGTGTCAATCCATCTTGTGGAGGGTCTTCCCCTTTTTCTCTGACCCTCTTCTTTACCCAGGATGATATCCTTCTCCAGGGACTGGTCCCTTCTGACAACATGACCGAAGTGTGAGAGATGAAGTCTGGCCATTCTCACTGCTGAAGAACATTCTGGTTGTACTTCCACCAAGACAGATGTATTTGTTCTTCTAGCAGTCCATGGTACCTTCACCTTTGGTGATATTTTTCACCAAAACCATAGTTCAAAAGCATGAATTACTCTGCAGTCTTCCTTATTCACTGCCCAGCTCCTCTATGCATATGAAGCTATTGAAAATACCACGGCCTGGGTCATGTGCACCTTAGTGTTCAAAGTGACATCTTTGCTGTTTAATACTTTAAAAAGGTCTTTTGCAGCAGGTTTGCCCAGTGCAATACATTTTTTGATTTCTTGACTGCTGCTTCCATGGACATTGATTGTGGATCCAAGTAATTGAAATCCTTGACAATGTCAATCTTTTTGAGGAGTATATGTAGCAATAGAAAAACAGAGTTTCTCCTGTTATGTACCTTATTCATGCTGAAATAATTTAAAATGCTAAATTTCCATTCAATTCTTGTCCATTGTTTTTAGATAAATCAAGCCTTTTGAAATTTCTTGGATTAGGAGCTAACTTCCTTTTAAAAATTTGTTTTATTATAGAAGACATTGTATATATATGGAATAATTTATAAAACATGTATATATGGTTTAAGAAGCTCTGGTGGCATAGTGGGTAAGGCATTTGATTGCTAACCAGAAGGTCAGTGGTTCAAACCCACTAGCTGCTCCACGGGAGAAAGATGAAGCAATCTACTCCTGAAAATATTTACAGCCTTGGAAACCCAGTGGGGTCACTATGAATTGGAATCGACTTGATGGTGTAAAGTTTAAATAAGACCAATATATATTGAATAATTTCCAAAACATGTAAATATAGTTTACATAAGGAAAATAAGGTCATTCCCTAGATATTATGATTCAGGTTAAATAATGTAATATCAACAATTTCAGAAATATTTTGTACATCTGTCCTTACCAGATTACATCCCTCTCCTACCCTCCCAGTAACTACTACCTGATTTCTGTTGTAATCATTCCCATTTCTTGACTATATCTCTAAACAATATATTATTGGTTTGCTTCTTTTTGAAATGTTCATAAATACAATCATACTGTATATATTCTTCTATATGCCTTATCATATATATTCTTCTGTCATTTGTTTTTTTATCTGTAGGCCTTTTTTCTTTCTTCAGGTTGGAAAAAATGAAAAAAGAATATAGAAATTTGAGTACATGGGTAGAAAAATCCAGCTATCTAGAAGACCTTCTTATGCCAGTATTGGAACATGAAACTAAAGTAATTTACCTAATACATTCTCCCATATATAGATTCAACACTTTTTATTAAAAGAGATTTCATAAATAAAAGTGATGGCCAGAGATTTATTATTTGTTCTTTCTATAAATACTATTCGTTGTTCATGTACCTTCCTATTTTAAAAACATGGCATTTAATAAATATTGATAAGGTTTAAGTTTGAACAGCTTTATTTAAATTTAATTTACATACCACACAATTTACTCATTTTAAGTGTACAATTCAATGGTTTTTACTATATTCAAGGAGCTCGGGTGGTGCAATGGTTAAGGCATATAGCTGCTAACCAAAAGGTCAATGGTTCAAAACCTACCAGCTGGTCCACAGGAGGAAGATGAGATAATCTATTTCCATAAAGATTTAAAGCCTTGGAAACCTTTTGGAGCAGTTCTACTCTATCCTGTAGGGTCACTATGAGTCAGAATCTACATGATGGCAGTGGGTTAATGTATTTGCAGAGTTGTGGCATCCATCACTACAATCAATTTTCTGACATTTTTTTTACCCCAAAAAGAAACCTCACACTCATTAGTTGACACTCCCAACTCCTCTATTCCCCATTAGCCTTTGGCAACAACTAATCTACTTCCTGTCTCTATAGATTTGCCTATTCTGAATATTTTATATAAATGGAATTAAGCAATAATGTGTCTTTGTGTCTGGCATCTTTCACTTAGCATGTTTCTGATTTTCATTCATGTTGTAGCATGTATCAGCATTTCATTCTTTTTGATTGCTGAATATTCCATTGTATGGATATACCACATTTTATTTATGCCTTCATCAGTCGGCTATTATGGATAATGTTCCTATGTACATTTGTATGTAAGTTTTTATGTGAACATATGTTTTCAGTTCTCTTGAGTATGTTATACCTAAGAGTAGAATTACTGGATCATATGGGAACTTTATGTTTAACTTTTTGAGGAACTGCCAAACTGTTTTCCACAGTAGCTACATTATTTTATATTCCCACCAGCAATGTATGCAGGCTCTAATTTCTGCATTTTTGTCAACGCTTGTCTTTTCTTTGTTTACAGTCCTAGTAGGTGTGGAGTCATATCTCATGGTGGTTTTGATTTACTTTGAGTTTTGATTTGCTATTGTCGCTATGAGTCAGAATCCACTTGATGGCAGTGGGTTTTTGGGTTTATTGATGACACAAAACAGCAATGACTTATGATATTGGTCACCTTTTCATGTGCTCACTGGCCATAGTATATCTTCTTTGGGAAAATATTTATGGAAATTTTTTGTTCACATTTCAATTGGGTTATTTGTCCTTTTATTGTTCAGTTGTAAGAGCTCTTTATATATTCTGGATCCTAGAACCTTATCAGATACATCGTTGTTGTTGTTGGGTGCCATCGAGTCAGCTCTGACTCATAGCGGCCCTGTACACAACGCAGCAGAGCAGCACTTGGTCATGCCCCATCCTCACAGTCGTTGCTGTGCTTGAGCCCATTATTGCAGTCACTGTGTCATTAGGGTCTTCCTCTTTTTTTGCTGACCCTCTACTTTTCCAAGCATAATGTCCTTCTCAAGGGTCTAGTCCCCCTTAATAGCATGTCCAAAGCATGTGAGACAAAGTCTGCCATCCTTGCTTCTAAGGAGCATTCTGGCTCTATGTCTTCAAAGACAGATTTGTTTGTTCATCTGGAAGTCCATGGTACTTTCAATATTTGTCATCACCAATGTAATTTAAATACATCAATTCTCCTTCAGATATAAAAGCAGGGGTTAATATTTGTAAAGGAGCTCTGTAGCATAGTACCTAAGGCACTTGACTGCTAACCAGAAGGCTGGCGGTTCAAACCCACCAGCCACTCCTCGGAAGGAAGGTTGGGCAATCTCCTTCCGTAGTGATACTGCCTTGGAAACCTAAGGAGGGGTCGCTATGAGTCTGGGCTGACTCAACAGCACATAACAACAACAACAACAACAACAACAATATTTGTAAATACAATCTAACCTAATTTTGATCTGGAAATAAAGGATTCATAGTGTTGTTATTGGATAAATAAAACATCATTGACTAATATCAGAGCCCTGAAATGGTAAAGTCATAACATACTGATATTTTTATGATTTTCAGTGCTTCTGTGATAATTGGGCAACAATGTGCTGCTGTAGGATAAATTGATTAGTGTTTACTAATAGAGAATTAATATTTTAGGGGAAATTTAGGTTCTAATTGAAAACTCAATAATTTTTTTTTTTTATTAAGCCCGGTAATCACTTGATAGTTCTTCTTGGAAATTTGGAGAGATTTATAGTTCTCACATTGCCACTCATGAGAGAACTCACACTTCCAATTTCAAAATGTACTACAAAGCTATGGTAATTAAAATAGTCCAATAATGGCATAAGGATTGACATTTAGACCAGTGGAATATAATTGAGTCCAGAAATAAACCCATGCATCTTTAGTCAAATGATTTTCACCAAAGGGGCCAAGACCATGCAGTAGGGAAATGAATAGTCTCTTCATTAAATGGTGCTGAGACAACTGGATCACCATATGCAAAGAATAAAGCTGGACTTCTACCTTATACCATACTGAAAAATTAACTCCAAATGGATCAATGATCTAAATGGAAGAAAGAAATCCATGAAACTCTTAGAATAAAATAAAGGGGATAATCGCTTTAAACAGTTTTTAACAATTGATTTTTGTTTATGGCACCAAAAGCACAAGCAACTAAAGACAAAATAAATAAATTGGACTTCATCACAATTAAAAACTTGTGCATCAAAAGACTTTATCAGCAAAGTGAAGAGACAAACCACAGAATAAGAAAAAATATTTGGGAACTATACATCTGATAAGAGTTGAAAATCCAGATTATATAAAGAATTTCTACAACTCAACAACAAAAGGACAAATAACCCAGTCAAAAAATGGGCAAAAGACTTGAATAGACATTTTATCAAAGAAGAAATATATATGGTCTCTAAGTCCATGAAAAGATGCATAACATCATTAGACTTAGGGACATGCAAATCAAAACTACAATAAGATACCACTTCACCCCATTAAGATGCCTATTCTCAGAAAAATGGAAAAGAACTAGTTTTGGTGAGGATATGGAGAAATTGGGAACCTCATTCAGTGTTGATGGGATTGTATATATTGCACAGCCATTGTGGAAAAGAGTATAGCAAGGATTGCTGAGGATGGCGCGGGACCGGCCATGTTTTGTTCTGTTGTACATGGGGCCACTAAGGGTTAGAAATGACTCAACAGCACCTAACAACAACAAATCAGACATTGTTACACTCTCCACATCCCCTGCTTTTTCAGAAGCATACTGCCACATCCTTCTTCCCAGTCTTAGTCTGGAAGCTCCACTGAAACATACCCACCATAGGGGACCCTGCTCTTTGAAAAACCGGTGGCATAGCTTCCAGCATCACAGTAACACACAAGCCACCACAGCAAGACGAACTGACAGGTGAGTGGTGGAAAACTCTATGCTGAGTGAAATCAAAACAAAACAAAACAAAAAGCTCACTGCCGTCGAGTTGGTTCCTGCTCATAGCAGCCCCTCCTTGGGTTTCTGAGGTGGTATCTCTACGGAAGTAGATTGCCCAGTCTTCCTTCCGAGGAGCGTCTGGTGGGTTTGAACCACTAGCCTTCTGGTTAGCAGTCAAGTGCCTTAGGTACTACGCCACCAGGGAAATAAGTCAGGCACAAAATGATAAATATTGTTTGATCTGAAATGAAATATGTGAAATATCTAGAATAGGCAAATGCGTAGAGATTAAATTTTATTACTCATATGAGAAACAGGTGGGAAGGGCAATGGGGAGTTATTGCTTAAGGGGCATTGAGTTTCTGTTAAGAGTGAGGAAAAATTTGAAACAGATGGTGGTGATAGTTACTTAACATGGTGAATGTAATTAATGTCAGTGAAATGTATGTGGAAAAATGGTTGAAATGACAAATGTTTTGTTCTATATTTTACCAAATATAATTTTTAAAAGGCAATCTATTTCCTGGGAGTATCCTCTTATACTACTTGAAGTTACAAAACTATATAATTGGTCTTGTGATCTTTACCTTGCATACACTCGTCATTCAAAATCTCCATGCGCTCCTGAATATCCTCTTCCTGGAACATCAGCCCCCAGCCAGCGTATACCTCTGCTTAGAGCAGCGTTGTCTGGATGGCTTTTCAAACAAATGTATCTTCTTCCTGTCCTTTGTAAATTAAAAAAAAAAAGTATATAGTATTAAAAGAAGTTATGAAGGCAAAAGAAAACTGTTAATCTCATCTCTTTAAACCTTTCCACAATATATTCTCTTTGCTTTGCTTTTAGAGAAGCAGTAAGATACTTAAAAGCCTGGGTAATGATCAGTTGGAAGAAAAGACTGAAACGTCAGGTTAGGAAACTGATTTCATTTATTTCTTTGGTATTTATTGGTAATGTCATTGAAATCAAGCTAGTTATATCACAAAAAGAAAATCCGTAATTTGCTTTAAGTGGATTTTTTTTCGTTAGGAATGGAATGTGTACTCCATTATGGTTTTGCTATATAGTATTTATATTGTAACACTTCTGAAGAGAAAAATGAACATAAGAGGTTTTTTAATGCTTTTTTACTTTTTTAAGGATGAGAAAAAGTTAGATCTTTACTGTGATCTGTGAAAAGCTATGTCTGTTAAAGATTGTGAACCATCTTCTGCTTTGATATAGAGGGGTGTGGTGGGGGAAGGAGAGGGAGTGAGAACTAAATTAGAGAAATCTAAATTCAAGAATTTACTACAGAGTATCAGTAAGACATTTAATTAATGGAAAATACTTGTAGTCTTGTTAAAGTAGATGCATAATACTGTATCTTTAAAGTCTTGGGTTCTTCAAGTGTCCAATGTTTATTTATTGTCATAAGACTTTTTGTTGTTGTTGTTGTTGTTTGCCGTCGAGTCGGCCCCGACTCATAGCGACCTCTCCTTGGGTTTCCGAGGCAGTATCACTACGGAAGTAGGATTGCCCAACCTTCCTTCCGAGGAGTGGCTGGTGGGTTTGAACCGCCAGCCTTCTGGTGAGCAGTCAAGTGCCTTAGGCACTCTGCACATCAGATTAATCATCCTTCCTCTCTACTTCCACTTGCCTCGCTGTATCAGGCTTTGGTATATTCATATCCTAACATCTGGGAGTCAACCAGCCTAGTAGTAACTATTGCATCCCCACAGCTTTTACTTTTTCTTACTTTACTCAAAGAGTCTATTTTGAGTCCCATTGGATCATCTAGTGACTTCTCTCTTTTCAGTATTCCTAATAGCCTCCTCTAAGGAGCCCTGATTAAGTGCTTAGCTGCTAACTGATCCACTTATGAGAAAAAGAGGTGGCAGTCTGCCACTGCAGAGATCACAGCCTTGGAAACCCTCTGGGGCAATTCTACTCTGTCCTATAGGATAGCTGTGATTTGGAACTGACTTGACAGCACACAACAACAACGATAGCCTCTTATAGATGTATATCTATATCCTCCTATAATGTTGTAACTAACATTTATTGATCACTGTGATCTAGGCACTGTACTTGGATTATTAGTCCTCACAACAATCCATTGAGGGATGTATTATTCTCATTTTAAAAGGTGAGGAACCAAAATCCCATTGCCATCAAATAAATTCTGACTCATTGCAACCCCACGGGACAGTGTAAAATTGCCCCATAGCATTTCCTAGGCTGTCATCTTTACGGTAACAGATCACCACATCTTCCCCTGACCCCTACGCCACTGAGCAGCTGATAGGTTCAAACCAGTGAATTTTGGGTTAGCAGCCCAACGTGTAACCACTGCACCACAGGGGCTCCTTACAGAGGAGGAAATTGAGGATTAAACAGATTAAGTAATCAGATTAGATTAGAGATTTGAGATCACCCAAACCAAAATCTACTGCCATGGATTCGAATCAGACTCACAGTGACCCTCAGCCACTAAATCAGTCATAAAAACCAAAACCAAACTCACTGCCGTGGAGTTTATCCTGACTCATAGCGACCCACATTGGGTTTCCAAGGCTGTAAATCTTTATGGAAGCAGAGTGCCTCATCTTTCTTCTGTGGAGCAGCTGGTAGGTTTGAACGCTGACCTTTTGGTTAGCAGCCAAATGCCTTAACCACTATACCAACAGAGCTCCTTAAATCAGTCACAGGTCACTTATTATCTGTATAATTTTGGGCACCTCATTTTTCTGAGCCTCAGTTCCCTCATATGTAACATGGCATAGTGGTAGTTTATCTCATAGGAATGCTACAAATATGTGAGGGGCAATATGGTTAAATACATGGACTCTTGGATTAAACTGACTGGGTTAAATTCCACTCCATGACTGATTTCTTTTCTTTCCTTTCGACTTTGAACAAACTATGGTCTGTATTTGTTTTCATATGTTATGGATCTGAAATCTTACCACTGTTTGCATGTCTTCATTTTACCTCCATACTTGTTCACTTATGACTCTCTCAGTCTCCCCAGAGATTCCTTAGTCTGTTTTAACTAGTTTTATTTTCGGATAACTGCTTTGTGTTAAAGAGCTCTTTGTTCTTGTTAAGAAAAAGTGATAGTATTTTACCAGTATACATACATATAAATGATGTGTTTATTGTTGTATGTAAAATAAAATACTTTTATTAATTTTCTTTAACAGATGGCCCTCTTATAGACGATGACGTTAAAACTACTCCAAAGAAGGTAAGGAAAAATTTCCTAATAGCCATTATCTTAAAAAGGGTAAAATGTTTGTAAATGGAGAAATGTTCATAGGTCAAAAAGGTAAAGAATCCAGGAAGGTATTCAGGTATTTCATGGTCATTTCTGTTGTAGCAGTATCTGTACAGTTACACAGTTAATTTACACTAAACTATGCTCTTGAAAGGAATGAATCCACGTATAATAGTGCTGTTGAAAAATATATATAACGGGTCAAAAGGTGATGAAGAAGAAAAGAGAAAGAAACAAGTAAGAAAAATGCATGAAGTTCTGTGTGAGGTCTTAGAAATGGATACCACAGACCAAACCATGTTCTTACTGTTTTTCACCAGAAGCTTCTAATTTAACACATTGTAAACTTTTGACATGAAGTAGCAATGATCATATAGTAAAAACCAATGTAGAGAAAGGAAAGACAATATAGAGAATTTTTTATAATGCTAAATTGATTTAGTTTATGATACCATTCTTTGTGCTATTTGCTATTAAAATTGCCTTTATTTTATGATACATTTGTGATTTTATGGTATTGTTTTTCATACTATTTTGTTATTAAATTTTCCCTTATTTTATAATGCATTGATGATAGTAAAATATCATACACCCCAGATTTTCTTTTTGAGGTGTTACTGACTTATAAAACCTGGACATATGAGAATCACTGCTTTATTAAAAAAAAAAAAAAAAAAAAAAAGAATGATCATCTTTATGGACAATGTCTCATGGTCCATGGTTTTAGGCAAGTAGAGAACAGGGGAACCCAAGCTGATACACCTCTCAACTCTTATATATAATAAGAAATAAAATAATTTACAATTAGCAGTCACTTGTTATGATAAAATATAAGGCTAAAAAAAAGTCCACTTTTATTCATTCTAAGTATTTCCTAGTTAATAGTGATTAATTGGTGGCTTTTTTTATTGAAATATTTTCTAGCCACTGGAGAATGATAAGACTCTGCCAAACCTGATTCTGCCAACTTTGAAGCTATCATACGAAGATAGTTCAGATGCCTTTCCTCCTGAAAGTGATGAATCAGAAAAACAACTATATCTACTACACACAGACTCTTCATTGTCCATTCCTTCAACAACAGAAGAGAACAAAATACCACCTTCAGATGAATACGAATATTATTCACAAGAAGAAAAATTGAAAACTAGATATTCAAGCCTTATTAAAACAGACTCATCTCTATCAGAGGTAAAGTTGAGAAGTATCTATCTAAATCCAGGTAGAATAAGGAGGAGGAATTTAGATTCATCTTCAAAAGAAATTAGGTGGCAAAGCAACAATGTAGGCTTAGCCAGAAGGAAGAGCTCAGGCTTGGTTTTCCCAGATTCAAAGTCAAATGGCAGTTTTCAAAGCCAAGATCCAAAAGAAGACCTTGCACTAAACGTATCTCCCTCACATTAGAGATATAAAACTAAGAAAAACAAAAGAGCTTATTAAAGAAATTATATGTAAATAAATTAAAAATGCATTCAAATGTCTCCAAGTGGAACTGTGTTTAAATATATTAAGCATTTCCAACCCTGCTTATACTGATCAAGTGTAAACCTCACAGATTGGTACAAAATGCAGCTGAAAGTGTAACAACAATAACAAAATGTAAATTTAAAGGAAATTTAAAAGGCTGGGAAATTACTTCATTGGAAAGTTTTAATAAAACTTTTGTGTTATTAAAAAAAAAAAAAAAAAAACTTTTGTGTTATAGGAAATAGCTTTCATTTTTCCTGTTACAAATAATTTTATAGTTCAGTATGAGAATGTAAATTTAATAGTACAGCAGAGTAAAATTTTTCTCAAAATGTCAGTTATTTCATCTAAATTTTTTAATTTTGCTTGAATCACTGTTATAGGTAACTCATAAAGCAGTGTAAAAATATCTGTAGGTCAGAGGGTAAAGAAACTGAGTTTTTAGTAAGGCCCTGCCTCTAGATATTTTGACATGCTTGGGCATCTAAATCTCTAGACCTACTTCATTATCTTGTGAATGGTAGATTAGAATAGGACATTTCTAAATTATCTTCAAATAAAAATACAATAATAATTTTATTAAATATATCTAGCTGGGAAATTATTCTTATTTATCTAAATTGGTAGCTTGTCCATTGTAATTTAAAAAGATTAACTTAGTGGAAAATTTAGCAATGGAGAGAAGCATGGAAAAGAAAATTAAGAGTAGCTATAATTATTCTACTACAGTTGACACTTTGATTTCCATTCAGTCTTTTATGTACATATCTTTTGTTTCTGAAAACTTGATTCAAACTACACATAATTTTGTATTATGCTTTTATAAAAACTTAATATTATTATAAGCATGTTACCTGAATTAAAAATTTTCAAGGTAAAGATTATCCTCATATATGGACAGTCCACAGTTCTTTTAAACAGTTTCCATGTTGTTTGACATTACATTTGAAATGAACATTCTTTTACATAACTATTTACTTGGATATTCTCATATATTCATAGAAATGGCCTGCAGCCAAATTGCTGTCCTGAAAGATTGTACCACTTTACATTCTTACCAGTGGTATTTGAGTAATATTTGTTTTTCTTTAATGGTTAAAATTTTTCCATACTTATTAACCATTTTGATTTTCTCCACTGTGAGTAGGCAGATCATGTTCTTTCACCATTTTTTTTTCTTTTGAGGAGCTTTTTTAGTTATGTTTGACAGTCTGTTTATGCCATATATTAAGGTACTTAAGTTTGTCCCTATTTTGTCTTCAATGAACTTTATTCTTTTAGATTTTACATTTAAGTCTTTGATCCATCTTGAGTTAGTTTAGGTACAGATCTTGTTTCATTTTTCTGCAAATGGATATTGAATTTTGCCAGCACCATTTGTTAGAGAGAGTGTCTCTTCTCCGTTTAATGGATTTTGGCTCTTTGTCAAAGATCAGCTGACCATAGGTGGATGGATCTATTTCTAGGTTCTCAATTCTGTTCTACTGGTCTGTGTGTTTTTAGTTGTACCAGTAACAGGCTGTTTTGACTGCTGTGGCCATACAGTAGGTATTGAAATCAGGGAGTACTTTGTTCTTCTTCTTCAATAGTGCTTTGTTTATAGAAGGTCTTTTTCCTTTTCATATAAAATTAATGATTGGCTTTTCCATGTCTTTAAAGAAAGCTGGTGGAATTTGGTCAGGATTGCATTGAAACAATAGATTGCTTTGGGTAGTATTGACATTTTCACAATGTTCAGTCTTCCTATCCATGAGCGTGGCATGTTCTTTCATTTATGTAGATCTCTTGTAGTTTCTTGTAGTAGTGTTTTGTAGTTATCTTTGTGTAGGTTTTTTGTGTCCCTGGTTAAGACTTTTCCCCAAGTATCTTCTCTTTTTGGGAGCTATCATAAATTGTATTGCTTTCCTTTTCAGAGATCTTTATGTTGGTGTAGAGGAATCCAACTGATTTTTTTTTTTTTAATTGTGATTTGGGTGAAGATTTACAGAGCAAATTCACTTTCCATACAGCAGTTCACATATACTTTGTCT